ATGACCATCACCCCCTACACACATAAGAAACCAGCTAGTCCCCCAACAAAAATTCTCTATCTCAGCAAATGAAATAATCCTTCTAACTGATCAGGCCCCAAACCCAGGAATCATCCTTGATTCATTTCTTTCCTCACCTAAAACATCAATACAACTACTGGCCCTACAACTTCTCTAATATATTTTGAATCCCCCAATTTCTCTGTTTCTAATGTTATGACTCTACTTCAAACTACCAATATCTCTCATGTCTTTCCTTTGCTTTCATTCTTGTCCCTAGAATGGTCTTTTTAAAACCTTCCATGAGAACATACTAAATCTTCTGCTTAAAAATTTCAAATGGCTGTCTACTGTGATTGTAATGAAAGCAAAGGGCTTTCTGTGGCACACAGGCCCCACCTAACCCTGAAACCTCATCAAGTGCCACTCCTGAAACTCTCTGCTCCTGCCAAACTGGCCTTTGCACTGTCACTGAACAAACTTACCCCTATGTGAAGGCAGTCATATTTTCTATCCCCTTTTTCTGGAATACGCATCCCTGAGATCTGTCCCTTTCTCAGCTCAAATGTTGCCTGTTTAGAGAAAGTTTCCCTGATCATCCTATCTGTAGCAGCATTCATCTATCCTCCAATCAGTCTGCCCAATTACCTATATAATTACAGCCCCTTTCACTGTTTGAAATTATATTATTCATATACTTGGTTACTGATTTATTAATTATTTACATGTTATTTACTTATTATTTGCACATGTCAATCCCCCTGCCCCCACCTTCCATAAGGCATGATCTATGAGAGTAGGGATCTTTCTATTCACAACTACTTCAGCACCCAGTAAAGCCCGGGCATATCATTAGTGATCAATAAATCTCAGCAGAATGAATGACTGAATGAACAAATGAATGAGTGAGTGAGTGAATTAGGTGCAAAGTAAAATCCAAAAAGACATGTGAGTCTGTAGAATTCCTATCCTCAGCTATTAAGCTATGACAATGGCAGTACCTGCTCTACCTGCAGAAACCTCCAGAGCACACAAGAGCTGTCTCACAGCATCAGTCCTCAATGGGAGATGTGGGAGTGATTTTGCCCCCAGAACATGCATCATAATATGTGGAGAACATTTTCCTTGTCCCAACTTGGAGTTCTACTCCATGTAGAACGTAGAGACCAGGAGGCTGCTAACTTTCCACAAAGCGTAGGATAGCCCTAGAAAATGAAGAATTATCTGTCCCAAAATGTCATTGGTGCTGAGGAGGGAACTATGCTTTACAGTATACATTTAGGCCTGGCACCTGCCACTGTTACAGAACAGACAAGGGGGGCCTGAGACAATATACTATTACTGAAAGAAGCCCCCAGGTCCGTTATGTCCGCCACCAGAGGAAAGACGTCTCTCAATGCCAGACATTCGTGAAAAGGAAAGGAAATGTTTATTTAATGCTATACAGACTTCAAGTAGTGACCTAATGTCTTCATCAAAAATCCTAAAGTCCCTTAAAACACCGACAAACACGCAGTCCTTCCTTCTTTCCCCCTTTGCCCAGTCCAGAGTACCGTATCTCAGGAAAGGAAATAGAAGTCCAGGGCTCAGGCAGTCCTCTGGTTCTTCCCAGTTAATACTCATTCTTGACTGGGAGACCTCCCTGGGTTCCCAGCACGCTCAGCTGAGTCGCCGGGATCTCTGCTAAAACCAGGTGGTGGTTCCCCTTCTAAAGCTGTGGGGGTCCCCGCTCTGTCCAGGCCTCGTGGTTCTCCCTCTCAGGGCTGCGGGAGTCTCCACTCTGTCAAGGCCGTGTGGTTCTCCCTCCTAAAGCAGCACGGTTCTCCTCCTCAGGGCTGTGCATGGCTCTCCTCCTCAGGGCTGTGCATGGCTCTCCTTCTCAGGGCTGCACATGGTTCTCCCTCCAATGGCCGCCAAGTCTGGGTTTTAAATCCCCGAGGCCAATCTTCCTCTGCAGCCTCATTTCCAACTCCTCCCACACTCGGCTTCACATGCCAGAACTGTATCCTTCCAGCTTTACTGGGCTGCCATCTTGAGTCTGGGCAGGTGTGGCCCCATGTCCTGGAGCCAATCTTCTCCAAGCTCCCACGCAGGCGCTGTAGCTTGGGGGATCTGCCCCCAGTCACATCTTGGTGGGGAAGTTACTTCCATTCCCCTCGCTCAGAGATGATCACAGCTATTTAACATATCCATGCAACCAGCCAAAGGCTATAGATATGTTAAATGACCACGCCAGAGCTTAGCTGCAAGGCTGTTGCTATGCAAAACAGCTCTCAATGGCCCTGCCCCATTTGTCCTTTCCCCCAACCCACACCCTGGGTGGGGGGATGGAGACATCTTAAAATCTCCTGGACACCTTAAGTTCTGGACCCCATTTCAAATGCCCATTTGGGGTCCCCCCTCTTGGCTGCACCCTGTAACACCACTGCAGGGCCAACTTACAATATGAAATGCCTTATTTTTTTAGATTTCCATTTATTCAATAACCTGCAAGAGAGCATTGCTCTGACATTTATGAATGTCAATGGGGAAATAATGCAGAGCCCTTAGAGTGTGTCATAGGAGAAAACCTGATATATCACTGGTAGATATTTTTCAGATAATTTTAACAATGACAATTAGAAATAATCCACCTAACTTTCCACCATTAGGAAAGAAATCTCTTTCTTTCATCTCCTGCTTCTATTCTTTATTCTCTTCTTTCCATAGCCTTTAAGTACAATCTTTCAGTATCCTTCAAGTTCCTTCACACCCAGAGACAAAACTATGGCATGAATTTATTGATTTACTCTCCCACAAGGAGGTACCATTCATAAAGTAGCTCTAAATCTAGGCTCATTTTAGCCTAATTGTCATATAGTATTGACCACAAAGGAAAACTATTTCAGTTGAGGACAGAAATCTGTTAAGTGTCCTTAGTAGAAACAAAAACATTAAGAAATTCAGGAAATATGTCTTTGTCTGTAAGACATGATGAGAATATATGAAAAAGTAGGCAGGGGTAGAGGGTTTACACTGTCATTATCATAAGACCAATGTGAGTACTGAACAGAATTAGAGTTGAGATAAAAATGCCTTCTGGGGCCCTCCTCCTCATTACCCTGGTCCTTAGCTACCTCTTTGTGCTAATACATGTTCAACTCTTATTCAAAACAATGGGGCCAGTTGTGTTTATAATTCAGAGTTTCTGGTGTTTAGAAAGGTAATCTAGTGCATATAATACAGCGTATAAACACCCTCAGTGGAATCTGGGGCAATATCTTGCAATCAAGCACATTTAAATTTTAGTAGCCAAACATATGAATATTCACATCAAGTATGATTATAAATACTTACAAAATAATTATAAATAGCTTCATATTAAGTTATAAAATTCTTTGGCTCTTTGAACTTTTCAGATCCTGAAAAACACATTTCAGAATTTCAGATAAAGGATTTTGAGTCTTTAATAGTACAATGAGGAGAGACATATGCCAATGAAATAAATTGCCATTAGCTGCATTTTGGAAGAGAGATGGTGCTAGAGTTAGAGAAAGTGATAAACAGTAGACAAAGGTCAAGTCATGAGGGATGAACTTGGGTTAGCATTTCTCTAAGCCACAAAACTTTTTCGAGGCTTCAGAGCTTGTTTCCCTCCAATTGACAAGAGTAGGCAATGAAAATAAATTTCAGTTTGTGAATTCTTGCTACTTTGTCAGTCCTGTTGTGAGCCATCTCTACAAAACAGGAAACTTGGGCTGGGAAATAGATACACAGCCTCTGTTGGCTCTGCTTTCTGCCTGGGTCCTTTCTCATGCATTCTGCAATGAAACACTTTGGCCAGGGAGAAGAAGGTATCAATACAAATGAAATTTCATTTACCAAAAGATGGCGTAAGTCAGAAGACAATATTAAGAGATGCTATCTTAAAATGCAAACACTAATTTTGTGCGGAATGCAGACTATGAATGATTTGATTTTTGTGAGTGTGTGTACTTAATCTGTTTTTTTCTCACAGTGAACATATAGTATTTATATAACAGAGATTTGTTTTGTTTTGACGTGCTTTTAAGTCAATAAACTAGCACTTGATAAATAAAAATTTATAACATCAGAAAATGTAGCTATTCTAATTAACAATTGAAACAATATTAAGTTATGAGAATAAAAGCACAGGAAAGGGACTCTGACATTAAAGAAAGCAAAAATCAATATCCAAAATGACAAAATATTTTTTTTAATTTAAATCTTATGACTTAAGGTAGCTTATTATAATTTTATTAGTACAGAAGGAACTATTTGAAATAATAGATCCATAGTTACATTCTCTGACATAAAACAGTAACAATGTACTGGCAACTATGACTCTAGTATTGGTCAAAGCACAGAATCACTGCAACTTCTGCTCTTCATGTCCAAGGTTCTAATTTCATAATGCAAAACAGTGATTTTAATTTCAGTGTAACTAATTAATTTAAATAGTGGTGACAATATAGTTGATGTTTATTGTCTTTTCACAAAGTGCCTGGTCTATTGTAAACATAATACATATATTTTTTTTTAAGTTATAACATTCCATGTTTTAATATTAACAAGAACATACATGATCATTTCCTGAGTTGACAGTGCAATGTAAAATTTAATCTGTATTGCTAAGACATTTTACAGCATAGAAACATGATCAAAATGACCATTTACTTCATCAAGTCATAAAACACAGGAGCTCATTGTGGAACAGTGATACAATTTAAATGGCAAGGAGCTTTATGATTCGTAACAAACCACCTGTACGGGTTTGCTGCCATGACTGACTTTCCTGGCCAAAAATCAGTAGAAAAATAAGTTATGGTATAAAGTAAAGCCGACAGTTACCTATACTGAAGGAGCATTTAATTTCATTTGAGAAACTGGAGCCTGGAGCCCAGTTAACCTTTCAGTATATAAAAAAAGTTGTCTTAAAAAACCCAAACAACCACAAATTTAGATAAAACAGCTCAGTAAAAGACAATGATGGCTCTTCATCATCCATTAAAACTATGGATCTTATCTTTGGAAAAGTTAAGATCATGCAGCAACCTTATTCTCTGCTCTGTAAATGGCATTGGTCCACAAATACAGATGAGAACTTTGGATTTGTCTGAACTTCTTTTTAAAAATTCAGAAAGAAGACCTGATGAAATGTATCCCGTTTTGCCATTCCATTCAGAAGTAGGTGCTGAGAGAACAAATTCAACATCAAATCTTTTATCTTTATATGCTAATTGCTCCAACTGGCTTCTCCAAATTATACCATCTTCTGTTTTATTGAAGAACATCAGCTTTGCTTTCCTGAGACTGGGTATATTATTCAAAGCATAATTCACTACTTTAACCATTGGTGTGAAGCCTGTTCCAGCTACCAATAAAAAGAGGTCTTCCAATTCTTGGAACTGGGATATTTTCAAATTGCCCTCAGGATTCCTCATGGAAACAAAATCTCCAATCTGAAGATGATCAAGCTGTGGTGTGAAGAGTCCAGCAGGATAGATTTTGATCAGAAAGTAGATGTACTTATTGTTGGGAAGAACTGGGTCCTTGAACTCTGATAGTAAGGAATCAGATACAGGCTTATATGGCTTCACTATTTCAGTTCCTATAATAGTTAGTTTGAGGTAAACATGTTGTCCAATTGGCACCTGAAGGTAAGTGCTTCGTGGCAGCATCAGACAGAAAAACTTCATATCATGAGTAACATTTTCCTTGGAAATTAACTGGCATTTTCTGTAGTACAAACCTTTATCTTTCTTCAGAATAAGTGAATTGTGATTCTCCAGAGGATGACCAAGACATTCCCATGAAGTACTCTCCTGTTTCTTTAGGATAATCTCTATCTTTCCCACATTCTCAACAACCCACACAGAAAAATCTTGAATCTCATGGCTTAGTCCAATATGTATAAGATATAAATAATCCTTGATAATTGTTTCTGCTCTAAAGGTATCAAACTGATGATCAGCTATTACTGAGTCTAAATTGATATCCTTCTGTTTAGTATATATGACAATGGTGACTAAAGAGTCTGTTTGGAACCAGTCATAGCTTGGAGAAATAGGGCTTTCTTTGGCAAGTGTACCTGTCACTTGGCCCTTAGGAAGCATGCCATTTAAGACTTTCTTTTTCTCACTACAGTCTTTAGGAACAGCAGGTTTAACTGCCATTCTGCCAACCAGGCATTCTCTCAGCATGGATTCATAGTTGACCCAACAATGAACCTGATCAAAAAGGTCCGTGCCATCTGACCCTGCTGCTCTCATTAGTTCATCTTTTCCACCGGGATGATACTCTATATACGGGATGACATTATAAACAAGCCCTCTTATGCATATCCAACAAGCATCTTTTGTGTTGTGTTTTTTAAGTTCTTCAGTTACTTCAATTAACCTGCCTTTTAATCCTGTTAGGTCCTTCCCACTTTTGGTCAGTCGAATCCAATCCATAAGACTTCTGCCCTGTTTTTAGAGGTACCTTGCTACGCCCCCCGCAGAGGCCACGTGCTGCTGGAAGCTGCGGGCTGGAAAAGACTGGGAAGGGATGTTCAGCATCCTGGACCTCGGGCTCTGGCTCAGCCCGGGGTCCGCCGCCAGAGGGCGTCGTTCGGCAGGACCACTCTTCAGTTACACCTCCCGCTGGGGAGAGGCCAAGCCCCCCCATATATTTTCTCTTTTTTTCTTTTTTTTTTAAAGATTTTATTTATTTATTTTTAGAGAGGGAGGGGAGGGAAAGAGAGATAGAGAGAGAAAGAGAGAGAGAGAGAGAGAGAGAGAGAGAGAGAGACATCAATGTGTGGCTGCTGGGGGTCATGGCCTGCAACCCAGGCATGTACCCTGACTGGGAATCGAACCTGTGACACTTTGGTTCGCAGCCCATGCTTAGTCCACTGAGCTACGCCAGCCAGAGTTATTTTCTTAAACAATTTCCCCAAAAGTCCTATAACAAATAAGGCATTATCCTGGCTGGTGTAGCTCAGTGGATTGAGCACTGGCTGCAAACCAAAGCATGGCAGGTTCAATTCTCAGTCAGGGCACGTGCCTGGGTTGCAGGCCATGGCCCCCAGCAACTGCACATGATGTTTCTCTCTTTCTCTCTTTCTCCCTCCCTTCCCTCTCTAAAAATAAATAAATAAAATCTTAAAAAAATGAAATAAGGCATTCTTATTTCAATTTTAGACATGAGAAAGCTGAGTCTTGGAAGTTGGGTTGCTCATATAATAATGGCAGCGTTCAGACACAACCATATATTTTTCTCTTACTTCAAAGCCCATTTTTCTAACTATTGTGGTATATTTTACTTTTATAGATTCAGAAAATATACTGACAGTTAAATTTACTTGTTTAAATTTAGCAGCATCTCAGTATTATTCTAGGCCATGATTATAAACAGTAAAAAGTACCTAATCTATTTTATAACTCTAAAATTACTTTCATATGTGGTAGCCTTATGAACTGATAAGGGACTTATATCCAAAAGTAAAACCAAAAGTAAGTAAAGTAAATCCAAAAGTAAAATTAAATCCAAAAGTAAGTAAATCCAAAAGTAAAATTATATAAAAGCATATAATTTCTTTATTCTATAATTCTTAGGTAATATGACTAGAAAAACACACACATACACACACATAAATGTAAGATTACAAATAGGAGTATTCTGCATTGCCTACAAGTATTGTTCCTCTTTGATTTAAGGCATTGAGTAAAAATTCATTTGAAAATTATTTTAAAAGAAATTTTATGTATTTTTTTTAAGATTTTATTTATTTATTTTTAGAGAGTGGAGAAGGGAGGCAGAAAGAGAGGGAGAGAAACATCAATGTATGGTTGCCTCTCATGCGCCCCCTACTGGGGACCTGGCCCACAACCCAGGCACGTGCTCTGACTTGGGAACCCAGCCAGTGACTCTTTGCTTTGCAGGCCGGGGCTCAATCCACTGAGCCACACCAGCCAGGGCTAAAGGAAATTTTAAAAATAACAAATCTGATAGAAGAATCAGAAGCCACTAAACTTAAAATAATGAGTACATTCCTAAATATAAAGTTATTGGAAAAAAATTACATTACATGAGGCCTCAGAATATAGTACAAACCCTGTGGTAGTTAGTGTCAGAAAACCTAATATATAATCTGCACCCCCCCCATTATAGGTTGACTTTTGTCCCTTTTAAAAGATATTGAAGTCCTAATCTTCAGTGCCTGTGAATATTATTTGGAAATACTGTCTTTACAGATGACCAAGTTAGATGAAACCATTTGAGTGGTCCTAATTCAGAATGACTGGTGTCTTTATATAAAGGGAACATTTGGACACACAGACCCAAACATATAGAGGGAAGACCCTGTGAAGCTACAGGAAGAATGCCATCAACAAGCCAAAAGGATTCCTAAGGGTAGTAGAAGCTTAGGAGATAGGTATGAAACAAATTTCTCCTCAGCACCCAGAATGAACCTCTGCTAACACCTTGGTTTTGTGCCTCTGGACTCCAGAACTGTGTGACAATAAATTTCTGTTGTGTAAGCCATCCAGTTTGTGGTACTCTGTTACAGCAGCCCCAGGAAACTAATATATTCCATAACTACCTTTTTGTAATAAGTCTAATTTTATAGGCTTCAATTATTCTACCAGGAATTTGAGGAGAGTAGTATGTGTTACAATGCCATCAGTGGGTGTTGTGAAAGGCAAAGATACAAGTGCAAACTGTACAGCATTATCCAGACCCAAGTATGAGGAAGGCATGTTTAGGCAGTGCTTATGTGGAATGCCCAATGGGATTTATTTTTAGATGATACTAGTTTTTATACAGGTCAAGTTAGAGACACTGATTTTTTGGGCCTCTTAAAGGTGTTCTCTTAGGTGAAGCATAAAGGCAACTTCTTCCTTGATGAGAGAACTGAATTTAGAATATGACCAAAAACGTCATTTACTGAGACCCCTGATCTTTGTGGAAGGAAGAATCTAGCCCTTGCTCCCTACAATTCAAAGTCTGAAAGATCTGTTAAGATGGATCAGGATGACCTCCACTAAAACTCTGTGACAGGAAAAAGCAATGAGACATTGAAATGAAATCACTTTGAGGAAAGGGAGCACATGAATAAGAGGCTTAGATTTGGACATAAACATTTTTGAGAGATAATTTCAGTTCATGCCTTATGAAGGAAGGTCTTCTAAAGTCAGACATTCTGCCACTAGGCCACCTTTCTTTGGGGAATGATTGGTCCTGGAAATGTGAACTAAAGGGGCTGTAATCATGGCAGCCAACATGAGGTATCCCTGTGAGCTGATAAGAGACATAGCCCTACAAAAGCAATTGGGCAACAGGGAAAAATACTTGTGGCAGAGATGTGCAAGGTGAATGGCTCAACTCCAATGTGTTCTCTGCTGGCAGATGGAAGGTAGAATGACCAACCTTTGGATTTAGAAACCTTTGAGTTTCCTGAAAGTATTAAGAAGGAATGGAAAATCTTAGAAAGGAGAGGCTAAATGTCCTGATATACTGCTATGTCTGAGGTATTAATTTGACAAATAAAAGAAATGTGACTGTATTCAGGCCAAATTCAAAATATGGTAGAGACTATATATAATACCCAAGTCAGAGAGAATACAGCATGGATTAATGTCCAGTGGTCAATGTAGGTGCGTGAGATATCAGGTAAGTGGAAAGGGTCAGAAAAAGGTCATTTTTTATTGCCTTCCAATTGTGTCAGAGGGCCATGGTTGGATCTTATTAACATAAAGTGCTTAGAAGTACAGAGGTCGTAAATAAGGGATTTAAATAAGAAGACCCAGAATTTGGTCCTAATTCTGCTAGTTGAAGATACATATAGCTCATTTTCCTCATCTGTAAAATATTGATGATAATAATACCCTCCTCAAGGGATCGTGAGCATCAAAAGAAATAATGCATATGAAAGTGCTCTGCCAACTGAAAAATGTCATGCTAATAGTAGACACTATCAATTGTTGTACTAAAATAAGAATCATCCTGTAAAACCTCATATCAAAGTAAAAATTAGCCATTCTTCTTATCAATCATTCTGCCTTTATAATTAGCAATTTAAACAACTTCAGAAGGATCCAATAAACATGAGATTTCAAGTATTATACCATGCCAACATTGTGAAATTTCATTCTCTATAACATGAGCATACCATCCTGTTTTAAAGAGATACTAAGAGTGCAAAATAATCTCTGCAAGTAACCAAACTTGTTGCAGACTACTGGGCAGGATGGAACTAGAGAAAGGACAAAAATTATCCTTAACTTCAACCTCTTTGATGTAATTTATACCATCACCCACAATCATCCAAACTATCAAACAGTTTCTTTCCCTTCCAGTGCCTCACTCTTCCATGCACTAAAAACTATTAAGATGTAAAAACTCTCAGGTCTGAGAAAATTATAAATCAGAGTAGGAAACATAAAAATAAGTGAAAAACAAAATGGTACTTAGAAATCTCTCAATAAAAATAAAGCTATATGCTGCCAACTAATCAGGAACAAATTAGTTAATAATTTATTATATGTTCTGCTATTCTTCAGAAGAATAAAACTACTATAAATAATATTCAAATAAAATAAGAAAAGTCTGTCCTTAAAATTAGATGCTTAAACCTTAGTAGTGATACATAGTGTGGGGAAAAAGTAGATTTACAATAGTTTGTATGGAATATAATAGAATAATTAATAAAAATAAAAGAATAAACTCTATTTTCTGTACTCACAACTATATACCTACTTTCGCCCCACACTGTATGTTGCATCCCATTCAGTAATTAGACAATGATGCTGTGTCTTTGGTACTGACGAACTAAGGCTCACTTCCCATTCTCATACTGTATTCCCATCAGATCAGTGGGACACAATTGTTTCTAACACTGGAACATCTACATAAAGATATCTAAGGACTTGATTTTCACAGACCCTTTGTTAATTAAATTAATTTAGCAAGGGAGGGAAGAAGTCTTGACAAACTAATTTATTTAACTTTTTAACTTTTAAGGAATAATTAGGAAGATAGAGAATAATGCAGCTATAAAGAAAAATTCTAAGGAAAAGCTAATCTTGCAGGATGGAGGACGATTTTTCATGTCAGATACCTAGTTTTAGGGGAACTCTTAGTTACAAAGAACATTTACAAATAGCAGTTAGCCTATGGATGGTAATACAGTATCAGTGTGGCAAATAGAATCAATTTGATTCACCAAACTTTTATGAACAACTTTCTATGTGCTATGTACTCTGCTAGTTCCTGGGGATATGGGAGTGGATAAGATACAATCCATGTTCTAAAGATGCTTTGATGGTCTAGTAGGTAAATAAATAGTTATAATACAGAGTGTAAGAAGTTTAACCACACAATACAAAGGTAGCCCAGAAGATAAAATAATAATCTACTACTTACGAGTGAGGGTTGAGAAAATTATTGTTGGGTAAGGAATACAAATGTCAGTTTTAAGTTTATTCTAATTAGTGTAGGCTAGAAATTAGTTGGCTAATGAATCAATCAACAAAATGTTTGAAGAGAGAATTATGGGTAAGACCCTAAGAGGTTT